AACTTATCGTCTAATTGAGGGAAAAAGACAGTCTGCAAAGTTGACTTGTTTAGTGATGCTTTAGATATTTGGGGAAGGGAGAGATCCGAAAGGATTGAGTCTCAGGAAAGACTTCATAGAGGGTTGGGATTTGGGATGGGATGGGATGGCTCGGATTGCTAGAGTGTGGAGGAGTACATCAGCCTTCTCACCACACCTTAACAGATGAGGTAAGACATTGAAGGCATTTAGAGCAGTGTCTAAATAGTAAGCGCTCACTAGAATGTAAGTTCTACAAGGGTAGGGTTTATGTCTGTCTTGTTCACTGTCGTATCACTAGTGCACTAGAACACAGTAGATGCTTCAGTAAATGTTTATGGAATGAATAAATCACTGCAACTCTCAAATTCTTTTTAGCTATTTAATTTGTACTGTGAAAATACAGGCAAAGGGCTGGATCTCTCACATTGGTCTGTTAATTCATTTATTATACTAAAGATTAATTTTTTTTGGCTGTTGTTAAAGCAGTACCTCTATTGTTTATTGCTAGAGATAATCATCATGTGGTAAGAGGAATGTAAGTCAGGTACTAACAACAAAAGAAAAAGGGGGAAAAGAAAACAATGTCGTCTTTCTAAAGATACCCACTCAAAAATAATTCATTTATTCAACAAATATTTATTGAACTGCAACTGTGTTTGGGGGGTCCATGGGTGAACAAAATTGACAGTTGCTGCCTAAGGGGTTATTGGCACCGAAACTAGTAATTACAAATGTGACGTGTATAACTTACAGAAGTGCTGGTGCCCTTCTGAACCAAGGCCCTTCTGTCCTTAAATGAGTACATTTAACCTAGTCTGGGACACCAGAGAATGCTTCCCTAAGGAAGTGGTAAGTCCTGATTATTGTTTGCTGTGTGGCAAACTACTCTGAAATTTAGTGTCTGAAAACAATTTATTATCTCTCATGGTTCTGGGCTAACTGGACTCAGCTGGAAGATTCTCACTTGGGAATCTCTTATGATACTGACTGGGGCTGGAATCATCGGAGAGCTCAACTGGGCTGTCATTCAAGATGGCTTCTTCCCTCACATGTCTGGTGCCTCTGTGCTCTAGCATGTGGTCTCTCCCTCCAGCAGAGTAGCCTGGACTTTCTATATAATCAGCTTAGAGCTCCAAGAGACAGGAAGAGGAAGCCACCAGGCCAGTCAAAGGCTGCACCGCCAATGGGCACAGCCACACTGTACTGATCAAAACATCACAAGCTTTGCCCCAATTCATGGGAGTGGAAAAATAAACTCACTTCTTGATGGGGAAGTAGCAAGTTCTCATTGCCAAAAAGCACGTGGGATAGGAGATATTGCTGTGGCTCTCTTTAGAGAATACAGGTCTGTCACTTGATGTTAGATTGGACCCTGAAGGATGATTAGGCATTGATGCAATGGGCAAAAGAGTCCAGGAGGGAGTAACCCCTCCAGCGATGGGAACAGCCCGTGGGCAGGCCTGTAGATCAAAATGGTAAACCTTGAAGGAGGAACTGAAAGGCCTTTGTAACTAAGTGGAGGAATGAGGGGAGGAAGAGTGGCATGGAAATGCTGGGGCACACAGTGAAGAGTAGAGTATGGTTTTGAAGGGTAAATGCATATTTACATCAGAAAGCAAAGAGAGTAGCTGTGTAGGTTCCAGACAAAAGCAATGGAAAGCAGTAACAGTGAAATTCCTAGAATAGGAAGAACAGATTAGCCCAGAGGACTTGGGGTGGACTTGGGGTGGACTTGGGGGGTGGTTCAGGGAAATCTTACCCCAAATTACATAGCTAGTGTGAGACAGAATTAGGATTTGGACCTAGCTCTGACTCTAGATCCCCTAGATTGCTTGCTATTTCTCCACTGCATTGCTCACTACACTGCCTATGGAAAGTCATTTTGTATAATAAACTTGAAAATCCCTTGCTAACCAAAAGGTGATTTACTCTTCCTAATTTCTTCCAAGCCATCCAGGCAAATACCTTCTAAGTTTTCTAGACTCAACTCAGAGGGCACCCCCCTTTGAAGGCCTTCTTAATCTCTCCCTCACCTTTGCTGGCAAGTGACCCCTCCCTCCTTCCCCCACCAAATCTGTTTCCATCCTCTATCAAGGCAGTTTTTTGGACTTATTTTCTTAGGCTCATCATGATAGACTGTGAGCCTCTTTAGGGCAAGGACTGTATCTTATTCATCCTTCCGTCTTCAGCATCTTGGACCTGTCGTGACCTTAATGGATGGTAGACGAGTGGTTTCCAGAATCCCTTGTTAAACAGCATTGAAATGGTTCTCAAGTTGAATTGTTACTGCCCTTAATGAGGATTAAATGAGACATTGCATAGGGAAGTGTCCCTGGGACATCTTACTTTCTGTGGGCCTCAGTGTCCCCTCTGTGAAAGTTGGGGTTGAGAGGATGATCTCGAAGGTCCCATCTTTGTCTAACAGTCTACAATCTTAGAACGCAGTGTGATGGAGTGTTCCACAAGCCAGCAGTGCTGGCCGTCAATGGTTATATGCTCCTAGCCAGCCTGTGAATACCAAAGCAGGGAGCACAAAATGTCCAACAAAATATTCCTAGACATTTTGATTTAAAAAAAAAAGAAAGAATCAGTTTAAAGGTATTTACTCTCTCTAGTATGATTAAAGACTGAATTTTAAGACCTAGGTAAGAAAAGGAACATTCATAATAGAATCTTAGATGAATAACTTAGTGCTCGGCACCTTGTTGCCCCTTCTATAAAATGGGAAACATATGTTATTATGTTCATTTAAAATTTTAGTAAATAAAGAACTAGAAATTTTAGATTTATTATGTATTTCTTTTTCTTAGCATCTGGTGTACAAGATAAAACTGAAAAATTCCAAGTTTCAAAATGCCAGAAGTAGTGAAACTCTGCTATAGGATTTAAGAGACTCAAGGCTTAGCATAGACACAGCAAACAAAACCATGTTTGCAGCTAGAAAAATATTATAACTGATCTTATCGCCAAAAATCAATCTGTGCCTTGCTTCATGAATGTTAACATAATAAACATGAAAATGTAAAAAGTAGACAAATTCACAGTCATTCACTTTATAAGAGGTTAGCCACCAAGTTCCTGTGACCTGCAAACCTTCTTGATACATTTAAAATAACGGGCTGTATATAGTAGTTTTACTTACACACATTAAGCAATGTAGATTGGTGCTGTTGATTTAAATGTAATGATTTAATGACCTAAGTGCTAAAAATTATTTTAATTAACCACAGAAATTTTGCAGTTTTAAAGAAGAAAGCACATTTATGTACCTTTGCAGCAACTTGCAAAGGTGTTGCTAATTGCCTAGTTTTACCTACTTGTAAGTAGTTAAGGAAAACAAAGCTTACCTAGTTGTTTTGTTTCTTTGTTCATTTTTTTGGTAAAGATACAAAGGTGTATGTTGAGCACATGAAGTGTGGCTAGTGTGACTGAGGAACCTTATTTGATTTTTAATCAGTTTAAATTTATTTATTTATTTATTTTCTAAATTAAAAAAAATTATTTATTTTATTTATTTATTTTTTTGGCAGTGTTGGGTCTTCGTTGCCGTGCATGGGCTTTCTCTAGTTGTGGCGAGCAGGGGCTACTCTTCATTGAGGTGCGCAGGCTTCTCATTGCAGTAGCTTCTCTTGTTGCGGAGTGTGGGCTCTAAGCGTGCAGGCTTCAGTAGTTGTGGCATGTGGGTTTGGTAGTTGTGGCTCATGGGCTTTGGAGCGCAGGCTCAGTAGTTGTGGCGCACAGGCTTAGTTGCTCCACGGCATGTGGGATCTTCCCGGACCAGGGCTCGAACCCGTGTCCCCTGCATTGTCAGGTGGCTTCTTAACCATTGCGCCACCAGGGAAACCCAATAAATTTAAATTTAAATAGCCATGTATGGCTAGTGTCTACCATATTGGACAGCATCACTGTTCTCGTTTGGCCTGGCCTTGGAGATCTAGCATTTCCCAGACAGTGTGGTTAGTGTTATGATTCTTTCTGCCCAGCCCCAAGGCTGGACCTACTCGTAAGCCAATCCTCAAAGCCTCAGGGAGTTTGGATCCTGAAGCCTTTTTGTGAGATGACTGGAAGAATTGTGAAGTCCAGAGTCATCATCAGGCATTACATAATCTAAGCTTAGGAAACACAACACAAAAACATTCAGGTTAATAAAAGGGCCATTCTCCCTCTCTACTTCCCCCTTGCACCTTTGAGCCTGACAAACCATCAGTGCTTTCACGGTTTGTGACAGGACTCATGCATTTATGACTTTCAGACTGATTACGATATAAGCGCAGTCACAGAATTCCTAGTCTCTTTGGCTAACTCTTTTAGGTCAATATCACAGAGATTTGCCGGGGCAGTCTTTTCACAGCTGCTCGCATAGGCTTCTCTGTATGAGTAAAAGCTGCTGACCTTAATTCCCCTTATCAAGAGTCCCACCCTGCTCTGTGTAAGTTCTAATACAATGTAGTGATATGTACTCTTTTTTTTTTTAAAGATTTTTAATTTTATTTATTTTTTTGACTGCATTGGGTCTTCGTTGCTGCACGCTGGCTTTCTCTAGTTGTGGTGAGCGGGGGCTACTCTTCATTGCGGTGCGCGGGCTTCTCCTTGCGGTGGCTTCTCTTGCTGCAGAGCATGGGCTCTAGGCACATGGGCTTCAGTAGTTGTGGCACGTGGGCTCTGGAGTGCAGGCTCAGTAGTTGTGGCACACGGGCTTAGTTGCTCCACAGCATGTGAGATCTTCCCGGACCAGGGATCGAACCCGTGTCGCCTGCATTGGCAAGTGGATTCTTATCCACTGCGCCACCAGGGTAGTCCCAGTGATGTGTACTCTTGACAGTGGAACTTCTCTGTAGGTGTTGTCCACGTTTGGGCATGACTGCCATGGAAGAGATGTAAAGATGAGGAAGTAAGCGGGCAGATTTATGTATATAGAATACAACGATATAGAATACAATGAACTATGTGCCAATGTTGTTCTTTTCATTTTCTTTCAGGAAATTAAAGATGGTGGTGACATTGCCTTGACAAGCACTTCCTGTTGTCTTTACAGAGGTCTCACTGAAGAATAATCTCAAAGGAATGTTTGTCTCCCAGTACCTTTGTTGATGACTGTTATCATCTAGCAGATGTTTTTAATGTCCTGGAAAACATCAACCACCCTTGTGCTTGGCCTGCTCTGGGCAGCTGAATGAAAGTTCCTTCCAGTTGTTTCCAGAACTCTGTTGCCCAAAACTTTACCTCTCTTTGTCGGGTGAATGTTCATGAAGCCCTTTCCTGAACAAGCTTAGGAGGCTTAGGCCTCTTGGAGCCTGTGACATGGAAGCTTTGGAAGTGGATGATATCAGCCCAGCCCTGGAAGTTACTGAGGATTTCTTTACTACTTTTGATAGTAAGCTAGAAAAGGCTGTGCAGCAAGCAGAGGTTTATGGGATTCAGGAAGTTCCTGAACTGGTGGGGCATGAGGTCCTCAGTAACATAGACAATGGTGCTATCAGAAATGTCTCCTCCCTGGGCAAGGGAGGCATGATCTGGGACCATTGTAAGACCAGGTTCTTAGAAACCAAAGCTCAAAATGTCTTCCCTGCCAAAGAACAGTTTATGGTCCAGAAAGGGACAACCCCAGATAATCTGTCCTGGATGGAACAAAAGGAAGCTTCAACCTTTGATTTTTTCAACATCTGTCAGCGTCGGAGGGACAGACCTCGTTCTGTGAATGACTTATTGGATGAGACTTCTACTTTTAAGCCCGGCCATGCTCGATCAAGGTCAGATATTAGCCAGGTGGACTGGAGGGTGGTCCTCAAAACCATGCCTCTGCCTCAGCAGCAACAACCATCTCTTCAGGGCCCTCACTTCACCAGGACGTCTTTTCTATTGTCCTCATCAAACAAGGTAGAAGATGCTCAAGGAAATATGGGTATGTTTTTATATCTGACTGCAATTAAATAATTGTTGATTTTCCTTTGTCTCTCTTGCATCTACCTCATGAGAGTCTTACTCTCCATTGTCCGTGTCTGGCTTTGCTTACTTAAGCCCCTCTTCCAGTTACCTTTGCACTTACCTTACCTGAAGTCTACAGTCTTATTCCTCCTAGGAGGAACTGGGTGAAAAGATGGCTACGGTTAATTCTCCTTTCCTAATCTTGTATGTTAGAATCAGAATGTTCTCATGATTAATGTAGTACTTTCCTTTGAACATTGTATGATACCACTTATTCACATTGGTAGATGTTGATCAGCTCATACCTTGGCCATAGTCTTGTGATATGAAGGATTAAAAGATGTGTGAAGACACAGTCCCTGCCCTAAAGAACTTCTCATTAGGTTGAGGGGATCAGACACTCCCAAAGACTCAGGAAGGTGCCCAGTGGTGAGAGAAAGGAGGTGCTCAACTGAAATGCCTGGGAGGGAACATTGTTTTGCTTTATATTGTTGGAATTTTTTTAAAAAAATGAGTGAGTGGCAGCAATTGTCAGAGGATAGAGGAAGGGGAAGACACTCTGGGCTGGGCTTGTCAGGAAGGGCTTGTGAGACATGATGGAACTTGAGCTGGACCTTGAAGGACACTAAGTTGCAGAAAGAGAGTCACAGTTGGAGGACACTCGGTCAGGATTATGGTGTGGACCAAGGGGGAGACAAGGAGACCAGGCTGACCCTTGAGGAGACCAAAGGATCTCATGGCGGTCGTGGGAGGAAACGTTTGGAGAGGTTGGTTAGGACCTCATGGTGCAGGGCCCTGATTTCTTTTTTCCTTGTACTTTATACACACACACACACACACATGCACATGAATATGTACTCATGTACTCACCCGTGAACTTCCTCTTCTGTGAGACATGACAAACCATCTCTCTGTTTCCCCCAGCATTTTTCTTCACCATAACTTCATTTATACAGGGTACCCATTTTTCTTACTGATGATTCTTTTTTTTTTTGCGGTACGTGGGCCTCTCACTGTTGGGGGCTCTCCCGCTGCGGAGCACAGGCTCCGGACGCGCAGGCCCAGCGGCCATGGCTCACAGGCCCAGCCGCTCCGCGGCACGTGGGATCCTCCCGGACCGGGGCACGAACCCGTGTCCCCTGCATCAGCAGGCGGACTCTCAACCACTGCGCCACCAGGGAAGCCCTCTTACTGATGATTCTTCAGTTACCCTGCTTAACCTCTTAATTTAGATGGCTTCTGCTTAATTAACTGAGGAGACTATTTTATGTACTTAACTGCTATTTTAGCGTTTCTTCAATCTCTATCATTGCTTGCTACTCCATTGATACATTTAACATTGTATTTTATTTACTTATTTTACATTAAATTTTAATTAATAACATTTAGTTTGTAAGTATAACTCGAGGCAAGGATATGGTATAGTATGTCCATTAAGGAGATGCAGTCTTCCTGCCTATGAGGTGCTACATTATTTTCACACCCAGTTCAAATCTATCCTTTTAAAATACTCTTTTTCCCCCCAACTCAAATTCATGACATGTAATTCCTTATCTTCTCTCCTAGACTTTCACCAGTCCTCTGTAACATCTAGCCAAATGGTGATCATGGGAGTAAAAAAGAAAAGGACATTATAAAGCACAGGGCTTGGTAACTGGCTAGACATTAGGGGATGAACAAGTTGCTGCGACCTCAGTGCCTGGCAGAATGAGACCTTTGCCTTGGGCTCACGTACAAACAGTTGTACTCATTGATTAGCAAACAACCTCAGTTTTTGTTTGGTTTCTTGGAGTTCACATAGATTTCTTTTTTTTTAATCACTAAACCACTGTAACCATTCTAAATCCCTGGCATAAACCAAGTTAAGAGGATGTCGTATTTCCAATTTTATTTCTTCCAATCTTGTTTGGATTGTAAATGCAAGAACCAGCCTTCCTCATGTTCTCTAAAGGAAGCTAAAGAAAGAACCTTCCTTAGCTTCTCTCTTGAGGATATGACAGACCATGATTATTACTTTTTAATTCTCAATTTAAAAAGTTTGAGTATTATGTTGAAATATAAGTACCGAGTGGTATTTTGAAAGCTAAACTGTAACCAGTGGCCTTTGCAAGTATTGATATAATATAACCTGGCCCCCTTTTGGTCATCCACGGGATACGCATCCTGTCTGGAATTAATAAGGTTGGGGAAATGGCCTGCCAAGTGTCTGACACCTGCTCCCTCTGGCATACTCTGGAGAGCAGGACAGAGAAATCTTGTTCCTGTTGCTCACTAGGTAAAGGGCAGGGGCAAGCAGGGCCCGTGGGCTGCCCACACTTGGGCTGGGGGTGGAGAGGAGCTCTAGGTTCATGGCTGGTCACCCACTCTGCCGACTGTAATTCTCACAGCATTTGGGAGAGGCGAGGAAGTGGCAACACCCATGTGCAGAGTCAAGATCAGCCAAGATCTCTGAGTGAAGTTCACTTTAGAACCTTTGAACGTAGCCGTCCAAACGGAAGAAAGGCTTATTGTCTCTCCTGAAGGCATATGCCAAAAGCAGAGGGAGGCGGTGTGGTATCTTGGCCAGAGCTGTAGCTGAGGACCCAGGAGATGGCGATCAGGCCAGATCTCTCCCTTGAACTTCAGACTCGCGTATCCGGCTCTTTGGTGAACACCTCTGCTGGAGTGTCCCACAGGCACTTCAGATTCGGTGTCCAGACAGGGCCCGTCATCCTCACATCCTCCACTCTAGCTGTTCTAAAAATTAACAAGGGTTAATGATAGGCTCCTCAGAAGAAATAAAATGTAGTCAAATGGGTCTCCTTTGAGGAGGGCGACTTGGTGTTTTTGTGTGTGTGCATCCCAGGAAGAGCACCTTTACTAAACAACAGGAAACAAAACGTGCCAGGAATCTGACCAGATACACAAAGCAGCAGGTGAGATTCCTGATGGGAAAGAATGACTCCCCGTGGAACAGAAATAGATCCCCTCCAAGTACATATATTTCACACGAGTGTGTACATACATATGTAATATATTAAAAGAAATTTCGTTTCTACCACGAGAAGTTACTCAGCAACAATAAATCCACGTCACACCTGAGACAGGGAAGTGCGGGCGCTGCAGCCACGTTGTAAACCGAGGCGCACCTCCGTCCTGCACACGCCTCCCCTCTGTGCGCTGTGCACACTTGCTGGCTGGGGGCTTCTCTCTGCCCCTCCCCCCAGGCTCAGCAGATCCAGTGTTTGTGGAAGAGCGCGTCAGGGAAGAAAGGTGGCCCTGTGGCCTTGGAGCCCACCCTGCAGAGCCCAGGAGCTGACTGCAGCGGGGAGGCAAACACCCGAGGCCACCGCCGCCTGCCTGAAGGGCCACCTCGGCTCTGGGGTGAAGGGCAGCGCTTGGGACCCCAGCAATGGCACGGCAGTGCACCTGGTTTTCAGCAAAGAGTGTGTCTCTGGGGTCCACCCAGGGCCCTCCAGATCTTTGTAGTTTGGCCAGCGGGGTCTTCTCCTAGGATCAAATGGCTTTTGGGAGGGGAGTAGAGTGTCCAGAGTCACCAGGGCTCAGCCCTGTGAGTGTGTGTATGTGCGTGTGCACACGCCCGCATACACACGTGCTTCAGTGGAGGTCAGCAAGTTGCAAACAAGTGTTCTACAGGGGCGTGCTCAAAAAGTGTCTGCTTTGGGGTCAGTTTGTCACTGCGTTCTGAGTGTCCCCATGCCAAAGTGGATTTGTTCAAAAGATGCCAGTTGCTAGAGGCTACAGATACAGAAGACACGTTACACACTGCAGGGTGCAACCCTCTCAGGGCATGGCACAGAGTTTTAGTAAGAAAACAAACAGAAGAAATGCACAGGAACCCTTTCCTCACTGTAAAGCCCTTTCCTGACACCACAGGCAGACGGGGAAAGGCTATCAGGGTTTGTGTCTAGCCCTGTCACTCTCTTACTTATGGGCTTTATTACTTTGTAGTCTTGTGTTTTCTCCAGTTGATTTTTATTTTTTTGAGGCCCCTGAGTAGCTTAAAGACTTAAACCAGGAGCAGTTCTTCTCCTCCTCGACCGCCGCTTCCTCCTCTTCTGCCACCCTCATTCCCTCCCTTTCCTTCCATTACGGCAAGCCCAAGGGTCTTCTTCATTAGGTAGGGCCTCTGTGTCTTCTGCCTCGTTTGGCAATGATTAACTAGGCTTGTGAGCCTTACTGAGGATAAATGATGCTTTGGGTATAAAGCAAACCAGATTTTGGCATATTGAGGGCAGTGGGTAGCTGGGGTATAGTAGGAGTTGTTTGGCTAATGGGCAAGCCTGTCTGAAGAAGGCCTTCTTGTCAGACAAAGTAGCATATTGGTTAAAACAATGACTATAAACCTAGACTGTTAGAATTTCATTCCTTGTTTCAGTACTTACTAGCTGTGTAACATAGGGCAGGTTTTTTAATCTCTCTGAACCTTAATTTTTTTTGGGGGGGCCATAAAGTGTGGGATAATAGTAGTACTTACCTCAATATCTTGTGAGCATTAAATGGGTTAAAAGATCTAAAGTGCTTCTGAGAACCATGTTTGGCACACAGTAAACACTTAATAGAGGTCTTAAACATTTAATAATATTATTATTACTATTAATAATATTAATAATATTAATTATAATTATAATATATTATAATTATAATATAATTATAATTATAATTATAATTATAATTATAATATAATTATAATATAATAATATTAATTATAATAATTAATATTATTAATAATATTAATAATATTAATAATATTATTATTACTATTACAATTGTATTTGCTTCTCATCCATGAGAAGCAAAGTGATACTACCAATCACTCCTAGTTCTCCCTGGCATAGTCAGTTTCATAAAATGGCCTCGTAATAAATATTTCTTGAATTGGCCTTCCTGCATTGTACTTTCTCATAGCTGTTAACTGGTTTGTTAATGGGAAATAAACCATCCATTCCCTCTCTCATACTGATTTGTCATCAGCTG